CTTATAGGATTGTCCATTGTAAACCATCCATTTTAGGGTACCCCAATTTTAGGAAACCTCCTAATGAAAAACATCAACAAACCAAGGAAGATGGGAGGTGCCTTCAGTTCCCTCCCGGAGCACGCCTCAAAAAAAAGACCGGTCGAATCGAGGCGAAATTGGCGCTGTTTGATTTGATCGAAGCTGCGTTGGGTTGAAGATGGAAAGAACAGGATGGAATTCTTCCAATTCAAGCGGTTTCTTCCAGTTTATGCTATGGTTCATAGTTCCTGATATCTCAAAATAGTTGCATATCATAAAATTATATAACTATATATATATATGTAAATGATGTGTATATATATAATTATATATATATATGTATAAATTAAATATATAATATGTATAAATTATATATTAATATATAACGTATAAATTATATATATAATGTATATAAATTAAATAATATATATATATTATATATTATATATATTATATATATATTATAAAATTAATTGACAAGGATTCACCAATGCTGAAATCAATTTGTCCAAAAACAAGGCAATTCTGCCTTAAGCATGGCCGGTTTACCAGTGAATCTCTCAGGAAATCTCTCGGGATTTGGGGGTACCTCAATTTTGAGACACGCCCAAGCATCTTTCGATTTATGCAGGGCTTGACCAACAACAACAACAACAGCAACAACAAATCATTGCACCAACCAAAGTTACCCTCTGGTAATCACATGTGGCTAGCTGGACAATCCTCTACACATGGAGATTCGAATGAGAAAATCATCTTTAAAGGATCGTTAAGGGGCAATGGATGGAATTCTACTCCCCAGCAAATATGCGAGTGGAAACTCACATCTCTTTCCATGGTGTTTTTCCCACAATGGTACGAACTTGCCATGAAAGGCTTCATTAATTCAGATACCCTACAAACATGTGTTGTCCGACCGCTGGTTAGTCAATGTCCCCCATCAAAAGGGCCGTAAACTAAACCACGAAAAGGCTACAATACCCTTCACTAAATTTTACTCCTTTGCGCAATGTTCAGATGCCCATATGAGCCACGATGAAAACATTAGATTAATCAAAGGGGCATGGTCATTGGCTTCATAATTGGAATCCTTACAGTGGGTATACAAGTTCCTATTGATGGATTGATGATCATCCTGCTCTATTGGCATAGAACCCAGCCTTTGACGCGCATCATGCAGATGAATCCACGCTCACAGCTCTCCCAAGCTCAGGTGGCGGGTACAGGTGAGTAAGGTGAGGATAATTCGAGATTTCGACGTGCACGAGCTCGCTCCATAAAGCTCCAGTTTCTTCACAAATAGAGGACGCTTCGGGGCGTCTTTGACTCTTTTTGCTTTGGGATTATGGGTCGGCACGGCATACCAGCGACCGGAAGTCTTGAGACCGAGCCTGGACATGGAATAACACTTAGAGGTTGAAAAGTTCGGCAACAAGTCTCTATTCAAGAATGGCTGACACATTCTGAAGAAGGTTCCGAAAACAAAAAATGGTAATGAAACTGCGCGTTTGGCGTCAGGGAGCAAAAGAGCATCGGGATGGTCATAGGCCAAATACATGGTCTTTACCCCTGTTCCGCCAGTTTTGATTGGACATCTCCAACCTGTAGAAAGATAAAAGCTTGTAAGAACTTCGAACCCCAGTCACCTCTGTCCTTCGCACCATAGTCAAGGGAAACTTCCTGTGGCCACTTAAGACTGTCACAGAAAGTCTTGAAGGCTTTGGCAATGTTGGCACCTTGCAGTCACATATGGAAGACCTCATCCTCACATTCAACGCCTGGTCTGGAGATGTAGTCCGGAGGATGAAACTTGAGCATATCATCAAGAGCCTCGCCCCATGGCATGTGAATCAAAAAGTCTGAAATATCTCTGCGCCTCTTGCCGGGGCTGGATCAACGTGGACACTGGTTTGTCTTTAAGTGCATCGATCAGCTGACATTTCTTCACATTGAGGTCCACAAGGTCACGACAATGATTCCGCAGAGACATCTTTTCATTTTCAACATGCCTAACAAGTTCATCCACCAACATCTGTATTTCCCGTCGTACCAAAGCACTTGCTGCTTTCAGCACAATGATTACCTGCAATCGTCCAAAGGTCATCGTGCTTGACAGCAGATTCAAGATTCCGACGGCTCTTGATCTTGATAACTTTGAACTTGTCCTTGTGCCATAATGTAGCCAACCTGGAAATGAGTTCACTGTTTGTCAACTTATGAAGGTTAGACATGACCAAGCCCAGTTCAATAAGCCTGACAACCTTGCACACATATGAAGCATCAGTGACAACTTCAACGTGTGGAATCGGATCAAGTGAATTGGCTTTCATAGCAGCGATGACCACGGCAAAAAGTTCTGCACGAGCAAGCGTCTGTTCACCAGGTACGATTCCAATTTGAGATACACGGAGCAGCGGAAATTTTGGCTCCTGAAGAGAAACAAGATCCAAGACTTCTTTTTGCTGATTACACGATGCAGAAACGTCTTCCACAGCCCAAGTTGCAATACGAGCCATTGGGCATCATCAGTAAAATATATGAGGAAGCCAGCAGTGGTATTTTCAAGGGCAGAGACTTCTGGCATCTTGATAGTGCGAAGGAAGGCATGCAGGATCACAATTCTGTCAAACGTTCTTGGTATGAGTAAATAAACCCATTCTTGCCTCAGGTAAGTCAACACATCACATGCATCTTTTTGTTGTGTGCGTATCATCTTGAGCTGCGGACGCTCTAGAAGACGATGTTCCCTTGTGTCAGTGCCATCACCAAAGTTCACAGGATTCAGAGCAATCTGGATCCCATTTCGATTTTTGGCTTTGTGTCTGGAATGCGCCTGTCACATTCAGTCTAAGAATATTTTGTTCACTTTCAGCCAGCTTGGAAAAACTGTGTGAAAAAGATGTACATCAGGCAGAAAATCGCCAACACCTTTCCTGTCAAGCAGCGTGAGAATGTAATGATTCCACATCAACCTCACTGTTTTGGAGATGTACTTGCAAGAATCGCTCAATAGATTGCACTAAAGACAATCAGGGCCATCAAGCGTCCCGTCCACATCAAGAGACCACCCGGTCTGGTTCAAATAACTTTTCAACGTGGTTGCTGGTCCAAAAGTATCCTTGGCCAGCTGAGGCATAATAGTCGCAATCCTTCTCAATACACGGAAGCGCTGCAACAACGTATGCAAAAAAGGGTCAAGCAGAAATTTCGAAAGGAAGCTGCAGCCAATGACATTTGAGGCATTGTGCCATTTTCCCACAAGAGTCCTGCCTGCTGCTTCTCGAGGTTGTGAAGTGTTGCTGCCCAATGTATGTGGTATCAGTACTATACAAAGCCAAAGGCCAGACTGCGGATTGAATCAGTTTCGCTTTGACGGCTAAACTGGCTGGAATCCATTCAAGCCTCTGGAGTCTACTGACGGCTTCGTCAATCTTGTCACGAATAAAACCAAGAGACACGCTTTTGTTGTACGAAACAACCTCACCGAGATCTTTGACCATAGATTTTCCTTGAGGTTCTGAGTCACTGCCAGGAACCACAATGGTTTTGCAATGGTTGATCAATGCCAACTCTTGGTATGATCAATGGTGAGCCTCATGGAATCTGTTAAACGAAGAGTTTTCTGATAGGCCATCACACCCTTTGTTCAGCCACCATCCAACTCCAATTGTCGGCATAGGCCAAAGGTCTCACACGATCGCTTTTGAGGAAGGCATGAAACAAGCAACTTGTGGCCAACATTGCAAGGACACTGAGCGAGCACCCTTCAGGAACGCCAGCTGTCACCGGGATACCGTTTGTCACACAGCCTTGGATCGTAGGATACCTGATCGTCTTGTCAGGACTAGAAACCCAGGCATCAACAAGGGATAACAAGGGCCTTTGGGATACCAAGTCTGTGCAGGATTCTGGCATCAACGTATCTCCCAAAGGTGTTGTATGCTTTGATAAGGTCAAGTGAGTAACCACCAATGCCACAGCCGGATGCGAGGGATTCCTCTATAGCACGTTTCTGGGCATAGGCAAGTTCTTTCACTCCTCTACGTGGGAGGCCTCCAGAGATGTCATAAAGGAAAAAATATCTTTCCAAACATAGAGCTCAAAATGGTAATCGGTCTCGCATGGTGCATCGATAGCGGAACGGGTATCTTTGACAACAGGACTGTCTTGGCCCCCATCATTCCAGGTCCAAAACCATGTTTCATGACTGCGGCAAAAATCATCGCGAGACCACGGGTGCACCACTCGGGTAAGGCCTTCAATTCATCATTTGACCATCCAGATGGACCAACAGCTTTAGGAGATGGCAAAGATTTGACCACATGCATCCAGAGGTTAATGTCATCAATAGGATAGGAGATTTCAGGGATCACAGGAAGGTCAACGTCCTGCAACAGTTCATCAAATGACTCCCATGTCGATTCAAATTGTTCAGCACGAGTGTCACGTAGCCACATCTTTGACCCAAACTGTTCAAATTCACCACCAATTTTGCAAGGTGTGACAGCAGTGTAGTCGACATGCAGAGTGCGAGTGCCTCTTGCAGGAAAATAGCCCTCAACCAACTTGAAATAAATTTTGCAGCCATCCTGATTCTGGAAATGATTTCTGGCTTCACCAAATCTCAGTGAAGCACAAGAAGGAATTTCCCAGCACGCATCCATTTTCAACGCATTGTGCCCAGGTTTGGATCGCAGCAAAGATGCTTCAACATGCCATGTGACAGGAGCTTCTGACAGCGTTTCAGTCTTCTTTGCCTTGAGATTTTTAGATGTTGTCTTGCAAAAATCATCGCGTTGATCAATCTGCATCACAGCCTTGAAACGGTCAGATCGAAATTTCGTCTCCGCAAAACAAGCATTAGTGCAATCATGTTCAGTGATTTGCTCAACAAGGTTCAAAGTTTTCACAGCAATCCCTTTCCACGTCCAGAGCCAGCTTGTGTGCAAACGGATATCCAAGGCTTGGCAGTCTTCTCATCACCTGCGTCCATCCACTGTACCCACCTGAAAAAGCTCACATGCCGGAACAGGGGAGTCATCGCCTCCACTCACACGCGCATCATAAGATGCCATCACTCCAGCAGAAGCATCTGTTGCATCCAGGATCCCATTCCTCCACAAAACCCTAACGACCACAAATTGGCTAGATTTGCATGCCACATGTTCCCATTGATCTGAAGTGATGCAGATCCGTACATGTCTGTCAATATCATGAGGGCATTTCAACGGAACCAGCGGTTTCCCATCAAAAGCATCCATGCAGAATGGTCCATCTTGGCGGATTTCGCCCTTCAACGTTATCCAGTTGTGGGACATCTGAAGGACTTCTCGGTGAACAATCTCACAAGTATGGCGGCTTTCAAAAGGACACACATTTCTTGACAAAGCATAGTGCTTGGCCGGAGTAATGGCATGACCCATCGGATGATTGAGAAACTCCATGGCCCAGTTAGCCGAGGAATTAGTGCCAATCCCAAAAACCAGCATTACCGCAGGGAGGTCTGGGCCAAAATGCTACCCAGCCTTTGACCGTAGCACATAAATGTTCCTGGCTGAAACATGTTCGGTGCAACCCTGACGTTGCTCCGCGCCTGAATTGCGGGAGGGTTGCGTATTTTTGAAATGCCATGCCGGTGGACTTTCAGTATGTAGATGTATATGTGTGGTCCATGATCATCATCATCGTCATCAGCATCATCGTCATCGACATCGTCATCGCCATCGTCATCGCCATCATCATCATCATCATCATCCTCCTCCTCCTCATCATCATCATCATCATCATCGTCATGGTCATGGTCATGGTCATGGTCATCATCATCATCATCATCATCATCATCATCATCATCATCATCATCTCGTCCTCATCATCATCATCATCATCATCATCATCATGAATCCCTCATGAAGATAAGTTGATGCTATTGTCAGATTCAGCATATTGCCACAGGCGGTGGAGGATTTGTTGATCCCTTATGAAGATATGTTGATGCTACTTACAGGCTCGGCATATTTGTCAAAGGGGGTGGTGGATTTTTTGATCCCTTATGAAGATAAGTTGATGTGACTACCCCATTTAACATATTTGTCGGAGGGGCTGGTGGATTTTTAACATATTTGTCAGAGGGCTGGTGGATTTTTGGCCCCTTATGAAGATAAGTTGATGTTATTGGTTATTCAACATATTCATCAGAGGGGGTGGTGGATGTTGATCTCTTATGAAGATAAGTGGGTGTGATTATCCCATTTAACATATTTGTTTTAGGGCGTGGTGGATTTTTGATCCCTTATGAAGATGCGTTGATGTGATTACACCATTCAACATATTTGTCATAGGGGATGGCGGTTGTATGATCCTTCAAGAATATAAGACATATAAGTTGATGGTATTATGCCATTCCACATGAGTTGACACTGGTGATGGTGATGATGATGATCATCATGATCTTCATGATGGGATGCTGATGATGATGATCGTGATCACCATCGTGATGATATTGATGATGATGACGATTGTAAGTGTGGAGCAACGTCCAAGTTGGGCGGAACACGTTAAAACCAATTTAAAACCTCGTTCCGCATAGTTCAAGATCATATGTTCCGTCCAACCCGGACGTTGCTTCACACTTACAATATTCATCATCAACACCATCATGATCATGATCATGATCATGGTCATCATGATCATCATAATCATCATCATCATCACCACCACCATCATCATCATCATCATCATCACCATCACCGCCACCATCATCATCACCATCACCATCATCATCACCATCACCATCACCATCACCATCATCATCATCATCATCATCATCATCATCATGATCACCAGTGTCAACTCATGTGGAATGGGGTAATACCATCAACTTATATGTCTTATATTCATATATATTCATAAGGAATCATAATTCCGCCATCCCCTATGACAAATATGTTGAAAGGTGTAATCACATCAACGCATCTTCATGAGGGATCATAAATCCGCCACGCCCTAAAACAAATATGTTAAATGGGATAATCACACCCACTTATCTTCATAAGAGATCAACATCCGCCACCCCCTTTGTCAAAATGATGATGATCATGGATCACATATACATCTACATACTGAAAGTCCACCGACATGGCATTTCAAAAATACGCAACACTTCCGCAATTCCGGCGCGGAGCAACGTCAGGGTTGCACCGAACATGTTCAAACCTCGTTTTGCATAGTTCAAAATCATTTACAACTTGGTTTGCAGAGTGATTGAAACTTCCGTAGAGATTGGGTTCAAGGGAAATGTACAGGATAGACCATGGGTTTTTACCCTCAAACTCGGGGTTCCCCCTTGGAGTTCCTAGAGCCCATGCGATCTTTTGGTCCGCAGGCTTTGGCGTGGCCTGCAAAACATCTGGGGACGGGACGGCCCCAGTAAAGATCCCCTTGGAATCAGGGTTTCATATTGGATATTTATTTATTTTCGGGGCTCATTTGGCGGTTCTTTCGATTTGGGGGGAAGGGATTCAAAATGATTTGACAAACACATCCAAAAACAAAGAACACATAGAAATATGATCAACACATAAGAAGTATTTCATTTTGCGCATAAATGGAAGAAAACAAGGATTTGGAACATAATGCCAATCTTTGGAAGTCCAATTAATTAGTGCAAGACATTTGGTATTCAGGAGGTGCTGCATCACCTACCGCTTCGACTGAATTTGACTGAAACTAGGGGTGCCTAAGTCCATCCCATGTTCAACTGTTCTGTCATCATTCTAGTATATTCCAGTGCAATTTGTGGCTATCCGGTAATTATTTATTTTTGGACAAACCACATCCACATCCATGTCAAATATCACCCAGAGAAGCTAGAGAAGCTCCAGTTCAGCATTGGATCTAATCATATTAAGGCATAATGTGAACACCGGATTGCTGAAGCCTGATTAATTAGGGGGCTTACCCGCAAAGTAGTGAAGTACTATTGAACTTAGTACCCCCCCATACTAAAAGAACCGGGTGTTAGCAAAATCCTGGGTAAACCTTCATGGGTACCCGAAATAGACTACCCCATGTCTGCTCTCGTATGTATGATTACATTCATATATTATAATTACAGTAATTTAATATACATTAACATCAACTACCCTCTGGTAAACTAACATGGCTATTGAAAATGGCCATTTATAGTGGATTTTCCCATTAAAAATGGTGATTTTCCATAGCTATTTTGACATAACCAGAGGGTAACAAACGCTTCTGAAAAGGCCTGCAACAACCTGGGTTTCAGCAATTTCTTTTTCGCCCCTTCTGCCTGACACTTTCGAAGCCGTAGCTCCACGAAGCGAGGCTGACCGTAGACGTCCCGCACCTCGCAACGGACCCAGGTTGCAAAAAACTAGGAGTTGCATAAAAATTGGCGGTTTTTATAGGGAAAATATGATGATTAAATATATACACATCAAACATTAGGGTAACCTATTTTCAGACGTGACATACCCAACTAGTCAAATTATGCTTATGCATGTGCAGTGGGAAGATCAACTTCCTTAAACCACAAAACAGTTGCAGGTGCTCATGTTGGTGTTCTGTTTCGGGTCCGAGTTAAAACATCGGCGCGCCGATTTGTTGATATTTGTTGGGGCCATGGATTCAAAATGTATCCTGAAACAAGCCAACCCTTTGCAAATGTGAAACACATGATGGATGCAGAAAACTATCAACAAACGCTATGTCAATGTATGTATATATGTATATATATACATTTCATGTTCCAGCAACATAAGCTTCTGATTTGATGGAACAATTCCGGTGAGTTGAACTTGTCACTGAATCTAAACATCTACCCTTTCTACCCTTTGGTTATTTAAGGTAGCTATGGTATGGCCCATCTATAGATGATGATTTAACCATATTTAACCCATCTAAAAATCGTGGGCTTTCCCCAGTGAAATCTTCTGCAAAACGGCAACAAAAACCGAGGACGCCACGGTGCCCAGAAGCTCAAAGCCCTGGTGATCTTAGGCAAGGGACCAAGGGACTTGTGAACACCACTTAGGCAAAGGCTTGTTTCTTTTAGGGAAAATACATGAACATACATGAAAATACCGTCAATCCATAGGTTTTTACTTGCTGTATCTTGCTGTGAAAAATAGGTTGATACCATCAACCAAAGATATCTAGGGACTGACATATGAACATTGAAAACATGTGTTTTCTGTTGCATCTAATAGAGGGGTTTCCGGTAAATGTTCTCCCATGTTATTGCAGCATCCCATGAAGCAAGCCTGTGAACGAGAAGTTCGACTAGTTGTAGCAGGTCATGATGATAAATCAATGTTGTCGAAAACAACAATATAACAAGCACCAACCAGGTGGATCAACAAATTGTGATTCACCATAATCTATGGATTGGTTTATGGGAACATTTACAGGAAACCTCTATATTTAATGGTTAAAAACCATGGTTTCCTGTAGATGTTCCCTTAAACCAATCCATTGACATATGGTTTTCCTATGGTTTTCCTCAAACATGCCATTTCTAGCTACGTGCCTCCAGAGCAGCCATCAGATGTGGAGGAGCCTTGGAGCCGATCTGATGCGGTGAAACCATGGCTACACTGCTGAAATCCACTGTAGTACTTATAAAAAATGATGATTAACAACTATTAAAAACGCCATCTATATAATCATATATATAATATATATATATATACACTGTATATAATTATATGATATTATATGATATTATATGATATTATATGATATTATATGATATTATATGATATTATATGATATTATATGATATTATATGATATTATATGTAGACATCACACGTGTTTCCCAACCCCAATCCAAATCCTTGATGCCATCAACAATGGTTTGGTCTTCAGACATGGCAATGTTTTTAAGAAATTGATACTTAAATTGAACATACCGTCATCAAAACACAACAGCCAGTCATCATGCCAGTCATCGCTCGCCGCTCTTTCCGGGTGACGCCGGACCCTTCAAAGACTGCCGGGTGGGTGTGGTGTACCTCCAAATAAACTCGACAACCTGCTTCGCCAATGACCCTGGCCGTCTGCAGCACTTCGATCACCACATCAAGTCCATCCACTCCTTAGTCGAGCAGAATGGGAATGGGTAACACTTAAAACATCTTAAAACGCCCAAGCACCAGGATATCAAAGATTCCTGAATCATCCCCTCACTTCACCAGGGTTTCTCGGAAAAAGGCTATCGCATTCCATGGTTTAGAACCTCTTCCCAATTTCAATTGCCACAAAGTGAGTCTAAATTTCCTTCAAAAACCAACTCCAGTCACCTCAACTTTTCGGATTTTCCCAGTCACCCCCAGCCGGCCTCCATCCAGTGCCCCATGGTCTTCGAAGTCGCGCACGTCTACCTGGAGCTCCGGAACTTCGCAGCTGGGGATGTAGGGCGGATTCGAGACGATCAAATCGAAGGACCTGGGCTCCGCAGCCGCTGCAAAGTCCTCCAAAGCACAAAACGTCACTACGTCACTACGACTGAGGGATGTCCTGAAAGGATCCATCTTTCCATCTTATCGGTCTATCTATAAAAGCACAAATTATATTATATTATATCATATTATATTATATATATATAGATAATTATGTATAATATATGTATATATATATATATATGTTCTTATATGACATTCTGTATGCTTGATCATAATCTGCCGTAGTTGATGATAGAAAAACATGCTTCTACTCCCGTGTTCACCACGTGTCCTTGGCAGTCCCATGGTGCAGTGTCAGCCTGTCTCGCACACCGCAGCGAAGTGCATTCTCCTCCGTCAAAGCGATAGCTTCCTCGATCGCCAAATCACCAAGCCTTCTGGGTGTGTCTGAAACTGGGGGTACACCTCTAAAAGGCTATTTTAATGGGGAAAATATGGGAAAATGAGCAACCTTTATTCCAACGTCGCAGTGAGGTCGTTATTCATTTACCTATAGACCTATAGATTCTCCCCACTATATCCCCATTCTCTCCTATTCTACCAGTAATATAAATCAGATTCTATCCCATGATATCACTGGTTTTTCGTTGTTGTGCCCATCCCATTGTTGATTAAACATGATTCAACATGATTAAACCACCTACATCCACCTACCATCAAGGATCAGCTGCTGCCCAGCTGCCTCTTTGGGATCCACCGCGACAGCTTTGGCGCTGGGGAAACTGTGCAACAAGGACAGCACGATGGCTCCGGAACCGCTGCCGAAATCCACCAGCCTGCGCCATGAGAACTACATGAAAAGCCCAGCTCTAATCATGTTATATCATGTTATATAATGTTATATCTAGGATAGACCCCACATTCATATATATATATATATATACAGTTTATGATGTTTATTGAGCACTTACTAACACAGGGGTCTGGTGCCGGGGGTGGGTGTTGGACCCCTGGAAAATAACATTAAATCAAGAACCACAAATTCAGGCGAATTTCGAGTTTAAAAATCAAGGAACCAACCCCATTTTTTTTCCCTAAATATCAACAAAGTCCCAAATTAAAATTAAGGATTGTCAAACATAAAATCAACAGGTCCTCAAGGCTACCTCCCAATTAGCTGGAAGGGGCTGATTCCAACAAGTCCATGATGGGTTTGGGCTTTGCAGTCAGCTGACTTTTGCTTGGGATGAAGCAACTAGATTTCAGGTTTGGATTTGCAGGTGTTGATTTCCTGACCCATGCCTTTTTTGAAAAATGTTCGACTATACTCTTGCAGGTGCCCAACCCTTGGACTAGGGCCTGGTTCAAGTTAGTCGGGAGGGTTTGATTGTATAACAACAGTTTCACCCAGCAAATCCTTGATTATAGATATCTTCGGCAAAAAGCCTCTCTCCACTACAGTTCAAACATATCTATATATAATCTAACATGATTTATAAAAGGTGTATGGATATACATGATCTTATCTTGAACATATTTGAACTGACACTAGCAAAAAATAAAATTAGCAGAGGCTCAACCTATGGCTCATCCAACAGCAGAACCTGTTCTGATCACACGGCCTCCCCAGAAAATAACATGTGTGGAACCAACCCACCAAAACCCCCCTCACAGGGGATATTTTAAACATATCCTAGGGGCTCAAGCCCCCTGATTTTATCCTGGAGCACCCAAAGGGGGTTACTAACTGGGATGCACCCGCAAGTGCCAGTAACATACGTAATTCCCATCTTATGCCTATAGTACAAGTTCTGGAAAATGGATGAAAATGGATGAACATTGGAGACAGAGCCTTTTCTCTGGTTTAAACCCACCAAACTGATCAACATAAGGTATGACTTGAATCTTGATCCTATCTTGAGGTTGGGCTTTGAAACATAAAAACCCAGCTCCCAACATGGCTCAGCCGCTCAGCCTCTTCGGTCCAACGTCCTCTTTGAAGTCGCGAATGATCCGATCCACGAGTTCTTCGGTCTCGGGCCGGGGAATCAAAATGGGCGGCTTCACAAGGAGCTCCACGGGTAACGGGTAAAAGGGCCAGGAACCTGGGACCAGACAGCAGCGGAGTGGCAGCTGAAGTTCCTCCCACCAGCTGATTTTCACTTAATCTGGTTAAAATAATGCCATAAACGCCCTATGTGTATATATATATATATATATGTGGTCTAATTGAACCATTCCCAGTCATGGGTGGTAAAAATGACATTGCTTTAGTCACATTAGTCATCATGTGTCATAGTTGGAATGAATTTTCACTTTGAGTCGTCGCAACTAGTCAACCTGCATGGCATATCACCAGATAGTGCTTTAAATTACCCTCTGGTTATTTAACATAGCCATGGAAAATGGCCCATTTATAGATGGTTTACCTGGGTTTACCTATTAAAAATGGTGATTTTCCATGGCTATGTTAAATAACCAGATAGTAATGTCATAAATGTGGTATGTTGACAGTTGCTCGTGTATTCAAAAAAATCTAAAGCGGTTGCTAAGGCCGCTAAGGATTTTTGACTGAAATCCCCATCGATGATTGTGGATGCTTGTGGATGAACCAGTAACAAAATCAGCGGGGCAACTGACCTACAGTAATGAGAGTACCCGCCTAACCCCCAAATATAGGTCAGTATCGTCCCGGCTTGGAGATTTAGGAAGAATCAAAACGATTCTAAAACCACGCAACTATTCACAGGGGTTTGTCCAATGGTTTAGAACATGTTCCCGCTATAAAAGAAATATGATATATTGCCATTCTGTGGGTGTGGGTATACCCAATGTTCAGGCGCACCAAAGTGACATGCAGTTGGTTCTAAATCCCATTGCGCTCATAACTCCCCAGTATATGCTCAAATGTATGGATATGCTTGGAAAATCAAAAGACCAGAAGACTAAGATCCATTGTGGGTGATACATCCCATCCCCATCCCCAAGATTCCCCAAGTATCCCCTCACGGTGAACGTCCCCACTTTCGGACCCGCGGAACCCACGATGTATTGCACTGGCTCGCGCCGTGCACGCCGTTGCACCCAGGCCATGAAGGTTTCATGCCAGGTGCCAGGCGCGAAACGCCGCTCGCAAGCGTCCAGCATCCAGCGCACGGAGCACCGGGCGTCGTCCTCCTCTAGGCCTTTCGTGGAGAACGGGGCAACGGTTTTTGGGGAGCTATGAAACCAACCATGAGGAGAGATAAGAAAATAACTTCCCCCTTTTTTGGTGAAAGGATTATATAAGGGGAGTATGGTATAACCATGTATAACCCATATAATCATCATATATCATAACAGTATCTTACAATATCTTACATCTCCATGGGAGTATGAACACATTTGACCATCAAAATATCAGATCCAAAGGGAAATCTTCACCACGGACACGGCGATGCCGCATGGACCATCGATTGGACACCAGGGGATTCGTTGAATTTTCGAAGTGGTTGATGGTGTCAAACCATCCCCAAAACTCATCAGACATAATACAGCAATATAAAACATATATAAAACATATGGGTGTATCTGAAATAGCTAACCCATGCTAACCCCAACATTCTTTCGGTGGGTCATACAGCCACCACAAAAATCATGGGAACCCCCAATCAACGATTGTTTACCATAATAATAATGTTCCCCCACGCAAAAATATAATCCACCATGATTGAACAAACCTATAACTGGCTTTTTTCGCGAGCAACGTGGTTCGTTGGGAATAAGGGATTTCTAGAACACAAGGTATGACCCTGACCCCGTCCTTGTTGGTAGCAGCTGGGAAGGAACTTTGGCATTCAGGCGCTGTGTGTCGCTTTGTGGTAGGTTAAGGCTGGTCAGGAAAAAACCAGAGATCAAATTTCTGATATGACCCAGGAACGGAGTTCGCCAGAGTTCGTCGGGGTTCGTCGCGGCCGAATTTGCTGTCGTTGCCAAAGTGGAAAACTGGTTATAAAAATGCGATTTTACTTTCTGCGTGCTGTTTTTCCATGCGTTTTAGGGGCGAAAACGTCAAAACACACGTAGGAAATGTTTGGACATCTTTGCGCGCAAGGTTAAGTTCATCGGAGTTTGTCGGGCTTAAAGTTTTACAGACTGCGTAAAGATCTTTACCAAAAGTGTCACGCATATTCTTTCCAAGGCCAGATTGAAACTGGAAATTCTTATTGTTCTGCTGGTCCACCTGGTTCAGTCTTATGCATTTCGGCAGACCTTATTCCCTACGAACCCGCAAGCTCGCGAAAAAACCCACCTATAACTGTGAAAAAACATGAAACATAAAAATTGGACTAATTAAGGTGGACGAACGTTTTTAGCTGGTTATAGCTGGTTCTTCTATTTATCCTATTTCTGGCAAAAAGAAACTATAACCCACCAACCATCAGTAATCTATCAAGCAAAGGTTGGCCTAGCAAAGGGCATAGGTTGGCCTAGCATAGGTTCGTTATGTTTCGTCTACAGTAATTATACACATAGCATGGAAGTATTTGTCTCTCCGAATTGCTGGATACCCGTGAAGATACCAGTTTGCATGTCTTTTAAAGTTGAGGATCTCCAAATGCCAGACAAGAGGGCGAAAATACCAACATTCTCACTCTTCTGCTGGAGGATCTATGAAACTCTGTAGTGAAAGTAAGATGTCTCAAGCCACGATTCAATTCTCTGGGTTTTCTCGCATCAAAGCTAACCAACGTTGGCTCTCTGCAGCCCTAGATCCTTGCAGAAATATAAATCTGAGATCTGGTTGATCATTTCGACTCATCCCCAACTTACAAAGTCAAGCGGAATCATCCCCCCAAACTGCAAACGTGGCTGGACAACTGGAATAGATATGTTCTGCAAACGTGGCTGGACAACTGAATTTAACATCATGCCAAAATTTGGGTGTGAACTTCGTTGGGACAGGTTCTTTCCCAGATTTCCTAGCAGTTCATAACAGTTCCCACCAACCCCCAATGCCTAGCCCATACTGAGGCTGGTGGATGTACAAGATAATGCTGATATAATTATATAAGACTGTATCATGTTGTATCATTCGCTCTGAGACATCTAAAAACAACGTCTATTTTTACGTCTACCTTCTGGTTATTTAACATAGCCATGGGAAATGGCCCTAATCGAAATAGATGGTTTACCATGTTTTACCTATTAAAAATGGTGATTTTCCATGGCTATGTTAAATAACCAGATGGTAACTCTAATATGGTCAATATATGGTTAATATATGGTTAATATATGGTTAATATATGGTTAATACACTGTTAATATATGGTTCTATAATGATGGTTAATGATGATGGTTAACAAACGACCCTTGATCGAACGGCTCGCCTGCCCGCTGAAGGAGTGCCATCGCCCTCCGACGAAGCGAGCTGCGCTCAGTCCGCGCAGTGTCCTCGGCGGCAACGGATCGCCACCTTGACACTTCTGATCTAACATGTCTATGGTGTAGTATGGTTTAGTGTAATGTATAGCCATGTATAGCCATGTATAGCCATGTCTATATAGTGTAATGTATAGCCATGTATAGCCATGTATAGCCATCTATCGCCTGTATAATCTGTAAAGCAACCCCCCCATAGACATGTAACCAATCCTGCGAAAATAGTGATAACATGCTTTTGGATCCATTTTGGGGAATACAGTATAATACAGTACTGTACCGCATTGGGCTCCTTTACATCCCTGTGGCTTCATCATCTCGGCGTCTTGGCCGAATGGCATCTCCCTGTTATCCCATACAGATTGTCAGTACGAGGCCTCCACAATATGCCTACTGGTGTGGGTTGAATAGACGGCATCACCATCTACAATAGTTTTGTTTCATATTTGGTGGAATGCACACAGTTCGTAACAACTCCCATCATTTGGGTGGGCAAAACTGATGCATGGTCTGCTGCAAAAACCACTCAAAAGGATGGCTGTTTAGAGAAGTTGAGATATGAGTTATATATGCATAATATATCATAATATTACATAATGATATGAATTAATATGAATTATATACACATGACTAACCTGAACCCATGCTATAGTATGCTATAGCAACAAACCAGTTTTCACACGCCCCTTTCGAGTTGGTCCTGCTCCGATGTTTTGCGGACAACCCGGCGCTGCGACACTCCTGGGGCGAAATTTCCAGGGGCATAAAAAAACATCAATGGTTGTCATAGCCTACAAAACACGGGGCCGACCCACATGGTTGAAACTACCAAACATGCTGGACAAACCAAATCAATATGGTGTTCCTGTTTCTCAAACACCTTTGGATGATGATCCAACTTAGAGCGGCTGGATTTCGCCAATTTTACTCAAACGACTGGCAAACGGACATGGACATTCTATCATTCTGGATTTGCCAGCACGGAACACGCCATTAAACACTATTTTTCAGCCCAATGTTTCTGGTTCAATGTCATGTTTTCTTGGGTAGTAGCTAGGAGTTGTATGAGTATCAGCACAGTGTACCACTGGGACCACTGAGCAGTCGCAGTCACATCTTCCAGTTGTTCCAGTTGAGGACGTCCTCGAACTGCCAAACACCAAGCAGGAGCAGAAACTAAGGACCTTAGCGGTCCGGTCAAGCCATTGGGAAAGCACCAAACGCCCTCCATGGTTTTGTCTGAAAATTGGACGCCCTCAGATTGCAAATTTGACTGAAAAATGATAGGGACATATGGGGCTATAGCCTAGTAACACACTCATTTTGAAGAACAACACGAATGAGAAGATGCCAACAATTGGCAAAAGCGGGCGAGCCATGTCAGAAGACGGAGGAAGGGTTTTGTCAACAAATAGGGCATGTAACGGTGCATATAGTATTAAAACCATGACTTAAACCTAATGTTTTCGGTTGAAATTACAATGTTGGCTATCCTCCCCCTTTTTTGACAAGCCCGGCATTTCACATTGTTGATTAATTATACATTCCATTATAAATTACATAATTCCCTTTGGATCCCTTTGGAAAATGATTCTATTGGCATGATATTGCCATGATAGGCTGTCTTGAGCTCAGGGCCCATGGCGAGCGAAGGGCACCTGCTGCCATGCTCAAGTTACAACAGGATTAGAATAGACCAATGCCATGATAGGTATTAAATCCAATAATTTAAGATGGTTATTAAGATGGTTACATTATCCTTAAATATAACATCATTGTCTGTATATTATATGGTAATATCAGGTATTATCCTCATTATCCTATACCGTATACCCATATGCTCCATGTATGGAGTAGTTATGAACATTTACCCCCACAAACCGCCCAAATGTTGGTAAGTATACCATACATGGAGCATTGGGGGTACAATATGTAATTAGGTATAATCCAAATCCCATGGGATTGTGATGGTTATTATTAGGATAGAAAAATGGGATTATCATCCTGCCTATCCAGGAGCTTGGCGCTTGGGATTCAACGTGGGATGGATGTGGGACGATGTGGGACGCCAATTTTGCAGGTGCAACAACCAGTTGTGGCATCGTGATTCTTGGTCACCCTGTCACCGATGTGCTAAGCAGTGTGTGTGTGTGTGTTCAATATGATCACCACCAAATAGTCTTCTGGTTGGTGGTTTTAACAAGTTTTAACCATCTTGAACATATGAGTTCGATTGAGTTCGTCAATGGGATGGAATTATCCCATATATTATGGAACATAAAAGCCATGTTTGAAACCTAAACCACCAGCCAGTCTTGATTTGTTCACTACCTGCTCACAGTCTCTTTTAGGTCCAGCTCATCGGACCAACAAGCAATGCCACTGAAGAATTCATGGGGAAAGAAGCACCATGAGCTCAAGCACAAAGGTATTTGCCAAGCCGTGTGACCGTGTGGGTTGATCCATGTTGATCCTATGCAATGAAACAGCAATCGCAGTTAGCAAGCCATGCCAATGTGAAAGAATTGATGCAAAGGGAATTACCATAGGTGAGCACAAGCACATAGTTATCTGCCAAAGAGCCACCGTCGGGGAGTTCAAGCACATAGCAATTCCGTTTCATTGCATAGGATCAACCCACACGGTCACACGGCTTGGCAGATAACTTACGGCTTGAGAGTTAGCTGATCCCCTCAAGTCTCTTAATGGAAGTTCCATTGATTTTCCCTCCTGGATTGATTCGATTTAATCCTGCATTCATTGCATTTATAATTGCCCATACTCTGACCTCGGCCTTGCCGTGTTCAAGATGATTTCCAGTTGAAATATCCACCATCATGAATCTATTGTTTCTATGTGGCGAGTCTTAGATACCCTGCAACTAGTATTTTCTAAGCTGATTAGGTTGATATATATATATTACATCATATTAATATAATATAATATAATATAATGATATAATGTATATCCCCTTTGTGGCTTGACTCTGGCATGAACTCAAAGGTCCAACACTATCCCGGACACTATGGGTGGGATACCCATTAAACTGACAGTTCGATGTGGAAAATCAACCATTTAAGTAGACAATTTTCCTGGGGAAACCATTGCTTTTCCACATCTATGTTAGTTTACCCTAGGGTATCATAGTTTCAGCTAAACCCATTACTTGGTACAGCGAAGGCCTTTAGTCACATCAACTTGTTTGGGGCAGCATACAACAATTTATGCGCGTAAACAACTACATCTTTGTACCAATCCGTTGTTCGTTTGCGTCGACCCTGCCTTCACTAAGCTGTGCATCTTGCAGCGGCAACTGCGCTCCTGTTGTCGCACGCCAGCCAGGGGATTTTTTACAAAAAAAATGCAAGTGCCAAGTTCTCTCGGAGCAACATGCTGGTGAAAATGTGGGAAAATGGATGAACATGGGTGAAACATTGTGAACATGGGTAAAACAAATGCTGAACTTGGATGAACTTGCTCGCTCAGTTCTGAGACCATCCCTGGTACCACATCCGAGCCCAGATTAGCATATGCAACGTACTGTTGACATCTGGTGGCTGTTGATCAATGTTGGCACATAAGATAGACCAATTCCGCACTTGAAAAAACAGTACAAACCCATTTCCAAAGCCATTTCCTCTATAATTTCTCCGCAACAAATCAGGATTTTCTTGGGGCATTTTTCACCTAAATCCAGCCCCGTGTCCTGAACAAAGCCATGCACAGGCACTTGCAGGATCATGGTGGGATCATACGCTGGACATGGCGGTTTCCTAAGTCATAGGGCTACCCCCATCCAAGTCCTTAGATTACTTTAGTATTGAGACCCATGGTTTTGGGACTTTGGGACCATTTTCGACAACTCCCATGGCAGTATTAATCTGTCGTATTACCAGCAGTCGCAATTTCAGAGCCATGGCGACAGTATCAGTTCAACTATATGTTCAACTAGTTGCCTGTTCGCTGATTTTCGCCTCTGGAAGCTTAGGCCTAGCGCCGGGTGATTTTGGGAAAGTGGATACACGGAGCCATGCAAAATTGCAAAAATAGTAATAATGTGTGTAGATCACACGTTGCTGTTCAAGGGAATGTGGACAATACTTTTCACGTTTGAGTGCGTACGTACAAAAAAGAAACATATGGGCTTCCCGGGTTCGATTTTCCGACCAATTCTGGGACGGCAGTAGGAGCTTTCAAGCTTGGACCAACATGCCAAAGAACTGACACATGGTATTTGGGTGGTCATGGCTAGCTATATGGACCCGTACGCCGTAGAGGGGCATGCCATTGCTGGTTGCTGGCTTCACTCATCTCACAGCTGGGACGGAAATCAATCAATTGAAATAGCTTGATATGCTGAAATCTAAATCAAATCTTTCTGGCTAAAACCCAAGGTTCGATATGTTCGAATGGTACACTGCCCATCAATTTTGAATCAATCACAGGGTCTCATCTTCACATTTTCCAGGTCTGCGTCCGTAAAGTGGCGCACGGCTCAACGAAAAACCTGGCCATGGCTCAACTCAGAATGCCAGGTGAATCACAACTGAGCATGGGTCCAAATAGATTATATTCATTATATGTTCATTATATGTTCATATCTATTACTATGGGTCAAGATGTGGTATCCAAAAAAAACGATAGTCAAAAATGACCCAAACAGAGGTCTCTAATGTTGAACCAGACTCATTTGCTGGTATGTTGGGTACGTCTGTGTAAAATAATTGTGGTAAAATTATCAAATTATCAGGAACTTTGAGCTATATTTATATAAGTTTATATCATGAAGTCATAGGTTTGGCATGGTTTAGCAACCTTGCTCATAGTAAAAAAAAAATGATGACAACAGAATCTAGACCCACATTTAGGTTGAATCCTCCAGAAATGTGGTTTTATATCGCAATTTTCTGGCACCTAGCTCCAAGTTTACCACTTAGAGCTTCCTATTCTATTCTATTGGAAAACTTGAAGAATTAGGGTGTATATGTGTATATATATATATATTATATATATGTATATATATATAAGGCCTTGGGACTTGGGACAACAACTTCCTAATCACTCTGATGCTTTCACCACTAGGACCTCTGTGGCTGCTTCCGATCTGGAGACTCACAAGTAAGCTGAATGTGTCAAGATGTGTCAAGTCAAATATGTCATATCGAAGTTGAAATAAGTGGGATTGGATGGGATTTAACGGGATTTAATGGGGGTTAACGGGTAATGGGATATATTCTAGCTGAATCACTGTAATTCACTAACCTGAGAGTAGCTGAAATAAGGCCCGCATAGGGAACGATTCCCCTTAGAACCGTCATTCCGGTGATGGCATATTATGGCCGGTGGGCCGGTGGTCCGCAAACAAAAAATGAATATTACGCAAAGAGGAAACACATGATATCACCAATCTACAATCTACATAAAATCTACATATGACATCCGTACATATACGTACCACATTCATACACGTATATAACCGTATATATGTATATATATATTATACCTTGGCTGTAGAATCCATTCTATATTTTATATATTTTTTTTTAAACAACTGTAATACATACAGATACATAAATCAACATCTAGACACAACTTCTTTCCACCTGGAGTTCCAAACATGGCGCACACATCTAGCATAGCATGGATGTTGTCTCCATGGAACGCCAAGTGTTCCGTTAGAGCCTTACAACGGTCATACAATCGGTGTCCACGAGAATTCAAGCGACAAGCATGTTGATCATGTTGAAAATTTGAATTCAACCAGCAAACATGCTAAATAATTTTACCAGCAAATTAAATGTCGTTCCTTGTGCTTGGTTGAAAGCGGGTGTCAAACATCATCATTTTAGCAACATATCACTGATCACTCACCTATCAGCATGTATTTTCCACAAGAACCCAAATGTGACCCTCACCCACCACAGCTTCCAAAACAGCCATGCACACCATTCACAGCGAAGCGCTTTCAGCCATCGCTTTGCATGGTTCACCGCTCCGTGCAACTCCACTTCAGTACCTTATTCAGGCAGAAGTTGTGGCCAACCATAATGGGAAAAAATGACTTCATTGCAACAGGAGTTGAAATGGGGATGAATGCTGTTATTCTGGAGTCGAGTCTGTCTCAAGACACTGGCATGCGTTGAATTCCAAATTTGTCATGTAATGTACCAGAAACTCGTCATATAATATATATATATAATTGTATATGTATATTAACATTTGCTATGCTGATGATGATTTGTTTACATTGAAAGGGCGAAACAAGCTTGGACCCCGATAGATTGTATTATAGATCGGCAAATTTCTGGGTCAAGTCCACGTTTCGGTCGATTAGTAAACTGTCACTAAACCATACAAAACCCCAAATGTTCCCATAGTTTGAGGTTCCAACTTCAATCATCCAATGTTTTTGGTACCGACTTGAAAAAACACGAAAAAACACATCTCCGAGCCTGCATAGTTAATCCCATCAATGACTGCCTGGACATGGAACAAATTGGAACCATGTGCTTCTATGGCCAGTGCTTCGGAAACAGTTTCGTTAAAGGGATGGTAAGACATTCATGGGCCAAACATGGCCAAACCATTTGATGAGCGAGATGGCTCGATCTTTGTTGTGGGTCTCTGGAGGGTGTCAAGCTTGTGGGTCAGAACAGCCATGGGAATTGTATGGAGTCGCCCCAGAATCAGTCAATCCTCTTGGATTTACTCAAGAGGCCCTCCAAAATGAAACATCATTAATTCTTTGTAGCCTTATAGATTCAGCATTCTTCAGCCATGTCTGGTGGATTTCCCACTGGGAAAATCACACACATATACAAACATCACTTTCTCAGCAACCCCAAGTTCCTTTTGAGCACTTTGCGCATGCACGGAAGAACCACAACAGTCCCACCGTTCAAACTTTCCTTGACTCGCTTCGCGCTCCAGCCGCGATGCACGAGCTGTCCGGCGGAACTGACGCTGTCAAGATCACTGCTTCGCAGTGAGCTTGCAGTGACCCACTGTGGCGAGTGCATGAGTGCAGAAAGCAACGATTGATCACTTCCATGAAAGTAAGAAAACAAAAACTAAAACCAATCAAAGGATATCAAAGGGACATCGTTGAACTCCTGCCGGCAAAATTGTTGATGTTAGTTGGGGATATCCTCTGGTAAACTAACATAAATATTGAAAATTGCAATTTATAGCTGATTTACCCTTTAAAATGGTGATTTTCAATAGCTATGTCCGTCATTACCAAAGGGTACCATTCATATCACCACCTGAATCTCCCAACCACGGGGCCCGGAGTGACTTGGCCACTCCGTCACGAATCACGTCTTCAGCAGCTACCTGGTGTTTTTGGAGGGTGACTGGTTGGTGGTTGAAGCACCCGGTAAGACGACACGACACGGGCTTGTGACTTCACCAAAATTGCGATTTAACAGGCAAAACTGCCAAAACTGTTGGAAAAAAACAACAAACATTAGCCGAACAAGGGTGTTTCACCATGGGTTGCGGCGAGTTCTCTCCATGTTGAAACACAAGAAAGCATGTTCGAACTCGTGCTACTATAGTGACATCTCAATAAACAAAATAATGGAAGGCTACAGGAAACTGTAGTTTTGCTGGTTCACTGGGGGATACCCAGTTTCTGGCCGGATCATTTCAATCACTTTCCATTCAACTATACAATGCATACCCAGTCTTGGTTGATGTTGATTGATGTTGATTGATGTTGATTGTATACTGTATTTATTGCGTATTCAATTGTATAGAATTGCATGTATAATTGTATATCATTGTATTATATAATTGTATATATATATACTTAAATATAATATTAATATAATTGTATGTAACTGCATGTAATTGGATGTACATATGATCATAACTCTTGATTCATGATGTATATTCTTCTGCAATATCCGAAATTCCACTTGTGTCTTGCAAGTCCCACCCCGATATCTCCCATTGTACCGTGGTTGGCAGATATCCTATGGCTGTGACAATCAGCAATAAACCACGTGGTATAACCTCCCAAAAATAACAACTCAAGAGTGGTATCTTTAAATACCTCATTAACAGATCAATTAACCATACATCTAGCATAAACCATAGTTAACCTAGTTATGTTTACCAACTTAGCTATTTTTTTTGAGCTATAATTGGTCACATTTTCCGTAACCCCACATCGCTTAGTCGCCACCTGACGAGACACTGTAGTTCAAAACGACAAATGAGCGCCGGATTTCCCTCTTGGAGCTCTCCACTACTGCTGAGCAGTGGGACTCCTTGGCAGGATGAATGAATTTGGTCATTTCACTAATTTCACCATGAAACACATCGGGCTTAAAAAATAACTGGGATATCTGATGATATCTGATAGGTTAATTGATATTAATAGGATAGACATATGGATAGACTAACCTAGACTAACCAACTATATAATGATGGCTTCATGGCAACAAAGAAACAATTAGTGACACATTGATAAACCACTGGATTTCAGGGGTGAAAAAAATCACCGTGATCCCATCCTTCTGAAATGCAAACCATCCAGCGATGTTTCAGGGCTAGCCCCAAAAACATCGCCCCATGACGAGTCGAAAACTCCTCCATTTTGAAGATATGTATAATGAATATATAATGAATATACCATGCAGCAATGCAATGCAATGCATGGATGATGGATGATCTGGTGATTGTTGGATATTGCTGGACCCAGGGTTAAAAGATGTTTTTTCAAGTGGGCACAGCTACGGAATCACTTCAAAAAGTATGCCTAAGCTGACATTGGCAACGATTTCCCGAGCCGATTGGCTGGTCATCTTCACCATCTGGGCATGGGATATACCAAAAGATCCAAGAGTACAACAGTACAACATAATACAAGTATATAACTAGACCTGCATAATTTTCCGATGAATAATGTTGTTTACATGTGTTTACCACTCTTGATTGAAGTACTACCCATTTGGCTTTGTCTTCAAAACATGGTACCAATCCAGTAGTTCAACACCATTTTCCTTACTACAGTAAAGTGGACATTTGAGCAGTGTTCAAAACCCGAAATGTTGTTCCATGAAATAGTGGTTGGTTAAGAACAGGATTCTCAGAATGATGATCACAGTCCCCAACATATTGGATAGTCTAACCCCCAAAATCATTAACCAACAGAGGTTTAGCAGCCCTTTGGGGTGGTCCATGTCTGAAGGGGTCAAGATATGAATTTCTTTGCGAGCTGCTTCGCCAGCCCGGCTTGAGATCAGCCAATGGAAAGGCATATTGACCTAGGAGGAGCGCAACATAGCGCAACGCTGGGTCGGAAGCCGCAGGAACAAACATGTGATGCGAGAAATGTCTAGTGAGAGATGGGAGAATTGAGTAACTTTCGTCACGTACACGTACATTCAGAAATCATTGGGTACAACATGATACAACACTAATTACTAGTCATAAACAATAGTCATTATAAACGACATATATAATTACCATTACTACAGATGGTGATGGGCAATGATAACTAGCCATAAACTCGCAACACGTTGTCCTCAGAGAATCTCTAAAAAAAGGCCATGGCCATGGCAAGTGAATTGCCGAAGGGAACCATATTCAACAACAACAACATCATCATCATCAACAACAACAACATCATCATCATCATCATCATCCTGGTCGTCATCATCATCATCTTGATACTTTACATCGTCCAAACATATAACTGGACATGCTAAGATACAAACTCTTCATAGATCTCACAACATACAGTACTGCATGGAAACATAAAGCCTTATCTCATATGATACAAAACTAGATAAATCAATAGAAATCAAACACAGCAATCCGAAAAATATATATATATATAACATTATATAACTATATAACTCCTCCAAAATATAGAGCACCAATCCAGGACCTCGTTTTGCTGGTGCTTTTTCGTCAACATCCCAGCGGCCCAGCAGATCGTCAAAGTCCACGTCCTGGTCCCAGGCCACCAACATGACAACAGCCAAAGCCGCATCGCTGATGGCCTCAGCTTGAAAGCTGTATATACATATATATAAAAACATAGGAATATGAGGAAATATTTAGAACATAATGATATATGATATATGTATCTGTATATATATATAATTTAATATCTTAAATTTTGGATTCAATATGATTCAACTTAAGTCTTTAAAATTTTGATTGGGTATAAACGGTATAGAAGCAAGGGGGGATATCATGTGGATACAGTAATGGTATGTAATAGTTTGGATAAAATGGGATAAAACTAAGTAACCTGCAATATATCACCGTTGGATAGCGTTGGTCTGTCTGAGCATGTGGATGACTTCGGAAGAACTTCTGCATACAACCGAATGTTTTTCAGAAGGAACGAATGCCATGCGACTTCTTTCGTAGCGACGTAGTAATATACCCTCTGGTAATTTAACATAGCTATTGAACATGACCGTTTATAGTGGATTTTCCCATTAAAAATGGTGATTTTCCATAGCTATGTTAAATTACCAGAGGGTAATTTGGAGATCATGACAGACCAGGGTTAGCGGCATGCCATCCCCAGGGAAGCTCACCGTTGGATACTTTCAGAATGCTTGGTGGATAGGCTGTAAAACTCATCCAGTTGGTGAGAAAGTTCTGCACTGAATAGGATGCATCTAGATTATTTCAATAGGAATTTCAGGACGTTTAACATAGAGGTACTGTACCATATGAAAAGCCATGTTCTGGAGCCATATCCCCTTACATAGCCCTTACATAGACCTTGTATCTGGTCGGTACCTCCAATTTAGGTACCTCAAATAGCCATTCAAATTTTCCATGTAGGCTATTTTATCCTATTCACTTTTCAAATGTTTCCAATAATATCACCATTTCAACCAAAACTTGTAGATAGCTTGGATGGTATGCATTAGAGTATGATCTTGTATGAACCCACATCAACTAGCATAATTCAAGGTTTTGAACCGTGGCACAGGGCAACATCTCACCAACAAAACATTGCTATTTACATCGCAGCAACGAACAATTGCACCATTGCAGGATGTTTTTCTGGTCGTAGAGTCGTAGATTCATGACACCCAGTTGCCCATCTGCAGTCCAGTGCAGCCAGGGCACAAATTCAAAGCTTTGCTTCCAAACAGGTTGGGCCTTCGGCGGCTCATGCGATGATGATCGCACTTGGCGGTCACAAGGTCCCAACCGTAACTTGGTGGATGTAACTGGGCGAAGCCGCCCTGGGTTTTCCGAACATGTGGCAAATCGCTATGGGAACATGATTTAGAAACGGTGGATGTTCCACATCAATGTGAGTTTTATTCCACTGATCAGTGGGATAACCCGCCTATAAGGGACTTATTCACCAGCATCATCCAGCGCTAGTTACTGAGTGAATGATGATCCTCCAAGTGCTGGTTGATGGGTAGCTGATATGTGTAATCTCCCTGATATCAACATTAGCAACCGGGGATTCAGCTCCAGCAACCATTCAAATGTGACATCATGTGTCTAGTTCTAATGGGTGTTTTTTCTCTTCCAAAAGTGAGATTTACCCGAAATTGACCCGTCTTTGGCAACTGTTACCCTCTGGTTATTTACCATAGCCATGGTATAGATGGCCCTAATCGAAATAGATGGTACACCTATTAAAAATGGGTGGATCTTTCCATGGCCATGTTGGTGGTGGTTTGCTGCTGGTGGTTTCACCATTGATCCGACTGATTGAAAACTTGACGTCCCCACTGAAAGGGGACCATTTGGGATGGAACAATGGTAACCACCATAGGATTGGAAAGCAAACAATTGTCACCAAAACATTCCCCACATTCTAATCTAATATATACACTATAATATATATATATAATTATATATACTGTATATATAATATATATATATATGTATATAAAGGATCTTGTGCACTTCAAAAGGATGAGGCAAAAACTAAACTTGCGTACAAAGGCATGGTATGCGGATTGTAATCAGAGATCAGAATGGCTCTGCTAACATAGCTTATTCATTGTCGAGAAAACTTAGCCTTCACGAAATGTCTAACTTTAACTTTGACATTCATCAAACACTAAGTAAAACTTTGACTTTCAACTGTCAGGGAATATAAGATTATTATCATCATTATATACACTATTATCATTATCATTAATATTATTACTATCAGCTACTCTCTGGTTATTTAACATAGCTATGGAACATGACCCATTTATAGATGATGCACCTATTAAAAGTGATGATTTTCCCATGGCTATGTTAAATAACCAAAGACCAAAGGGTATAACAATTTGTGATCAGCAATGAGCAAAATTTGGATTTACCCTCTGGTAAACTAACATACAGTAACTATGGAAAATCACCATGTTCAATGGGAAAATTCACTATACATGGCCATTTTCAATAGCTATGTTAAATTACCAAAGGGTATATGTCCAGCCACAGAAAACTGACGGACCGTGCCTTGGGGCCAGTTTTCACCCTGGCAGTGTAGACCGACGTCTTCTCCAATCGTCCTGGGGGAAGAACACGGGAGGGGCAAAAAATCGATTTCCAATATATAGAATGGATATATTAAGTTCCAATATATATGGAATTACATGGGAAACTCGACGATATTAATATATGGAATGGATTCAAATGGTGGAGAATATGAAGGAGATCTGATCCATTGAGAATGTGAGAATATTCCACTACTAGGATATTAGTGAAGATATTTGAGGAATCTGGAGGATATCAGAAAACATAGTAGTTATAGATAGATGATGTTACCTATTCAAAGCTTTTCGTTTGATGTCCAATGAACATCAATGAAAATTGTGTTCCAGCAAGGCAATCAAAAACATGGCAATGGCCACTCATCCATGTTTTTGTTGATGATACCCTCTGGTAATTTAACATAGCTATTGAAAATGGCCATTTTTGATGGGAAAATCCACTATAAATGGCCATTTTCAATAGCTATTTTGACATAACCAGAGGGTATATCATGTTGTTGATCAACAAGTGAGAAATGGTACGTCCCATTGCAGATGATCAGAGAGCACCACATGTCACAAACACGAAAATTGTCATCGTGCTCGTTTGGTTGGTATAATGGATATGTGCGAACGAAGTAATTACTGATTAAACATGAATCTTCACATACCAGATACGTTCGCCATGGTAAAAATTGATTCCCCCCCTGCACATGTTTGAATTGTATAGGGATGGAAAATAACACCTTTGAAGGTATTAAACAAATACATAAACAACTAGCCTCTGCTAATCATTTACATGGCAATGGCCATGGACTTTCTCATTTGATGAGAAAGTCCCATAAAAACATGGCCTTTCTTTTGTGGATTTCCATGGATTTCCCATCGCCGTGACATGCCGTGACTGGAGGAAAAAAGGAGGGATCGACTGCGAAGCAAGGGTCTGTCAGCCGATGCCCCAGCGATTTCAACACCTCAAGTGACATCTGATATTGGACCCACGAAACCGAGTGGGAAGATCACTGAAAAACAGAGGAAAATTCATTGAGGAACATTAGTCTGCTGACCATCCAAGATCTTGTTCTCCCCATTCCCCAAGCCGCTTTTTTCCTGGTGCAGTCGTTGACTTTCACAAATCCTAAGGTCCAAACAAACATAGGAGTCAGGCGGTCCAAGAAGGTCAAAGTCGCGAAACGCCTGCGACTCCGATTCAGGCTTTCTAATGGCACATTCGCATACATTGGCCTCGTGGAGGATATCCAAATCATAACATACCCTTTGGTAATTTAACATAGCTATTGAAAATGCCCGTAGAAATAGTGGATTTTCCTATTGAACATGGTGATTTTCCATAGTTATGTTAGTTTACCATTGGGTATCATATCATCCATGCCTGGCAGTGGTGGTTTCCTGATGAAATTTCTTAGTAGGCAATTGATGGTATTTGCCTCGCATGTTGATCCAATGAGCCATATCCTCCATGGTGTGTTCATCGACAGCTAGCATCAACACGCAACAACACCCAGAGTTGCACGAATAAAACATGTATGATCATCTCATACATTATTGATACATGGGTTTGCCCAGAAATATGGTATCATATGGCATCCAATTTCATGGCAATTCATGGCAATTGAATGCTAACAATTTGCTGGTTGGTGGTTTTAACATGTTTTAACCATCTTGAAAAATATGAAAGTCAATGCGAAAAATATCCCATATTTATATATATATATATTATGGAAAATAACAGCCATGTTTGAAACCACCAACCAGCTTGATGATATGTTGGAGAAAGCCCGTGCGATTCAGAAAGCGCCTCCCAGCCATCACCGCCAAGGACAGTGATTGAAAGCCTAGGCTGCGACGACGGAGCCATCTGGGCTGGAAAACCGGGACCAATTACCAATGAAAAATGTCCTTTCGGTAACAATAGAGGGGCAGGTTTGGTATTTCAATGTATTTCAATGTATTTCATCTATCATTTAGCTATTGGTTGGTAGGGGAAGTTAACCATTAATGCAGGTTTGGTATTTTTCATCTATCATTTACCTATTGGTTAACCATCTATTAATCAACCAAGCAATTGGAAAAGGACAGCAATATTGCCAATGGATCCATAAGTGTATTGAACAAGAGAGGGATGCGACCCTGAGCCCGTAAGCAAACCAAAGTTTGTCGAGCTATCAGGGTCTTTCAAAGATTGGAAGTCCTTGTCTCTCCCCACATGAGCAATCACATTCTCTCGCATAAGAGAAGCTATCCATACTTATCCCACATTTCAGTAATAAGTGTTCACCAGCCAGATATTTCTTTCAAAATGTTCGAAGGAAATCCCAAACCCCATTCAAAGATTCAAAGACATTGAAAGTCCATATGTTTACGGCCCTTGAGGTCGCTCTCAATCCCAAGTGAGGGATCATCCAACAGCGAAACAGGCCACTACGAGTGACCCGTTTCTCCATGGTCATGAAATGCACCAGGGCCCAAAAAACAGGCTTTCTATATCCAATCAACGAAAATTTCCCTGGATTCTGGGTCTCCCAACCACTGAAGATTAAACATTCAAAGCCATTGAACTGTGGATTCATTCATTTTCTTCCCAGCGCTTCACAATCGTTGGGATGCCCCAAAATTGTTCTAACTTGGGGTCTTCCCCCATCTTGAGCACCTACTTGGAGGATCATCCCAGTAACTGCTTAGTAACCATAGTTATAAGATGTTAGCCATTTGCATATGGGGATTATGGGGATTATGGGGAAAAGCCACCTAGGAAACTCACTCCCCAGGGTTAGCAACCAGTGACTTTCATAGTGTTTCCATCCAGGGTAGGACCAAGACGCTTTTTGGGCTGCGGCTCCTCGTCCGACATCATATGTGAAGGCTTTGGGACAAATCCACAGCCTCCGTTCCCTGGGCCGCGACGTTGGCGTTGGGTAAAGATGGCATGATGGTACCCTTTAGCTAACATAGCCATTCAACATGGTCATGTTGAATGGATTCTTTTAGGTAAATGTGTCTAGACACTTTCCATGCTTGTGTTAAAATACAAGAGCGTAGTCTCATTTGAGTCGGAGGCCATCTTCCAAGTTTCATGTTTGTTTGAAGGCGCTTCGAACATTGGAAGATTCACCATGCAACACGTTGACCAGTTATTAGTTACTTAAATTTTCAGTCACCATTTGAAACTAATGCTGGCAAAGCAATAATAAACCACCAGCATTTTGCGGGTTTATACCACCCAGAGGGTAAAGTTGGGTTTATACCACCCAACTGTCCAACATTAGAAATGAACCCCCCAATCCATTTCGAAACTCCGGGGGGATCACCAAAACAAGTCCGGAGCGCCTCGAAAGCGCCCAGCGTTTAGCCACGCGGCATGGGGATGGAAGAAGATACCTCGGGCGTCGGCCAATCTTTGCACTGCAACGAAAAACACGTTGGCTGATTAGTAATTATATTATATGTATAATATATATATACACTAGTAGAAACTAATGAGCTCAAGTATATGTAATTGTAGAACATAGATTAAAATAGTATAAAATAGTAGAAACATATATATATATATATACAATGCCCCATTTGGAGCAAAGACTGAAGTTATCTAACGATGATGAAAAGGCTTGAAGTACCCAAGGTTGATCTAGCAATGGGGCTTGGTTTTGTTGGCAAAATCTACAGGACGATGTGGTTCTGGGATGCTAAAGGCCATTCTTAGCTGGTTTTTTCTTGAGCATCTGGTTGGTGGTTTCAACCTACCCCTCTGAAAAATATGACTTCGTCAGTTGGGGTGATTCTTCCCAATATATGGAAGAATAAAACATGTTCCAAACCACCAACCAGTCATTGTTTGATCTTCTTGGCTTAATTCTTTGAACAAGAATGACACATTTTTTTATGTCGTCCAGAAAACTGTGGTGTTCCTGCGTTCCTGAGACATTGTCCAAACCAATTCCAGCAATTTAGCTCACAATCTCCAGATTGGGTTTCTGAACACCTAGCGATTCACCAGTGATGCGCTCCCAAAGTGGTTTATAAATCATGATGTTCGTGCGTGTCAATGTTTAGCATCTCCAGTTCGGGCGCTTGCCCATGATTACCAACCCAAGCAATACGAAGATGCAGCCCAAAACTCATCAAATGACATGATATCGATTATGCTACTCTCGCTATCGGTGAGTTCGTGTTTGGGCGAGATGGGGTTTTT